GGCGGCGGCCGCCGATCCCCTCTGCCCCCTCCCCGACCCTCGCGCAGTTCCATCTCTACTCCCAGGCCCAAGCCAAGGTTCCACGCACGCGCGCCCTGCCCGCTCTCACCTCGCGCGAATGCACTGACTCGACCCCGTTCACTCGCGGCGAGCCCAACCGCTGCCCCAGAGCCCGCTGCCGCCGCCGCCGCCGCCTCTACCGCCGCCGCCGCCGCTGCTGCACACGGGTCTTAGTACGCAGGCGCCGACTCCCCACTGACCAACCAAGCAGCCCTGTGACAGCCGCGCAAGCGTGCTATCTATCTCCTCCGCCCTCCACCCCCGCACTGCGCAGGCGCACAGATTCTCCCGGCTCTCCACCCTCCCTCCCACCTACCCATCCAATGACGCGCATCCGTGACCCCGCCCCTCACAATTCCTGAGTTCGTCCCACCAGTAGGCAACGCGCAGGCGCATCCGGTTTTTTAATCCCTTCAACCTCCTCTCCCATCCCCGTGTTAGACCACCAGCCCTACCGGACGGTTCTTGCGCCTGCGCAATAAGAAGCCCTGCACTCCACACCCTCTGAAGGAAACGCCTCGGCCTCAAGGCGCATGCGTGTTGGGAGTCCCGACCGCCCCTTCCACTTCAGACGTCGTCTGTACGCCAGGCGTTGAAAAGACCACGCCACTGTACTGCTGGTGTCGTCTAGAACGCATGCGCCTTAGGAAACGCCCCACCTCGACTTTATTTAGGCTTAAGACTCACACGTTTCAGAAAACTTGTGCTGTGGGGTGGGTCCTTGGTCTCAAAACCCATTTCCCCGCTTCCCCCTTCCCCTAGTTCCACACATGCGCGAGAGAGCTCTTTACGCTCCACTCTTCCCAGCGCGCTAGTGTGGTCGGGTTACCACCCATCTCAGCTTCTCTTCTCTGAACTGTGCGACTCTGCTCTGCCATAGAGTTTCATCCAGAAAGATAGAGCGGTCCTGTCCCAGCCACCATCTTGTTTAAACCCTCGGTCCATGTTGCTCTCTATGGCTTCCAGAGAGGCCATTTCTACTTCTGAATCCTAAAATAAAGAGATTTACATGGCATTTCTCTTTTCCCCCCAACTGTTCTCTGCGGTCTCCAAGACAGTTGTCTAGGAGCACCCTTAGAAAAAACTCTCTATAAAGAAGAGTGCTGTATCAAATTACACTGACATTCTCTAAATCATGGGAAGTGACCAATGAAACCAGAAACAAACTATCTCTCGGAATGAATTTCCCTGTCCCTCGTTCTAGGGAAGAAAGGCGCTGCTTTTCCTGAAAGTTTGTAGTCTTCTTCCTCTAGTTCCTAGGTTTTCAGCACTACCTTCATAGCTACCTTGTTTGCTTCAGTAAGCTAGGTTGACAACAGTATCATGGAACAAGACAAGCAGCTAAATAGCTGGACTTGGAATCCAAAATCCTAAATCTGGTTCTTGTTTAAGATGTGACATGATGGATGTGAACTGCAAACACTAGCTTGAATTAATACATTTACGTAGCACATTATACTATCACCCCCAGCTCCTCCCACTCAATTTTCTGAAGTTTCTGCCATTTCCTTTGGGGAAAACAAACTTCCTGGGTGCATTGTTTGAAAGTTCAATTCATGCTCTTCTCAAAGATGTATTGTCCAAATGACCCAACAATTCCACTCCTAAGTATATACCCACCCCCCCAAATTAAAAACAGGTACTCAAATCCTTGCACGCAAATGTTTAGAGAGTGCTACTTATATTAGTCAAAAGGTGGAAACAACCCAAATATCCATCAGATGAATGAATAACCAATTGTGGTATACACATGTAATGGAGTATTAATCACACAAAGGAATGAAGTATAAATGCATACCACAACTAGATGAACTTGAAAACATTATGATAGGTGAAAGAAGCCAAACAAAAATAGGTCACATACTCTATGATTCCATTGATATGAGATATACAGAATAGGTAAATCCATAGAAAAAAAAGCAGGCTGGGGCTTCCCTGGTGACGCAGTGGTTGAGAGTCCGCCTGCCGATGCAGGGGACACGGGTTCGTGCCCCGGTCCGGGAAGATCCCACATGCCGCGGAGCGGCTGGGCCCGTGAGCCGTGGCCGCTGAGCCTGCGCGTCCGGAGCCTGTGCTCCGCAACGGGAGCGGCCACAACAGGCCCGCGTACCGCAAAACAAAACAAAAAACCATCGAATTGTACACTTTAAATAATTAAATTGTTGGTATATGAATTATACCTTGATAAAACTGTTACTTTAAAAATGTGTTGTTGGAAAAGCTAAAGCTGGCCCTTTGTTTAAAAAAAATAATAACAATAGACATACCTCTGGCAAGATCGACCTAGGAAAGAAAGACATAAATTATGTTATAAGTGGAAAAGTTCATAAATCAACTATAGCTGAGATTAGAAACCATTATAAGACAAACTATGAAGAAGACTTGCTGAACAAAAGAAAAAAAATGAGCATTTCCTCAATAAATAAATTACAAAGGCAAAAAGAAAACCAGCAGGGGAAACTACAGATTAAAAAATGTAAGTCAAATGATTAAAAACTGGGCTTCCCTAGTGGCGCAGTGGTTGAGGATCTGCCTGCCAATGTAGGGGACACGGGTTCGAGCCCTGGTCTGGGAAGATCCCACATGCCGTGGAGCAACTAGCCCCGTGAGCCACAATTACTGAGCCTGTGCGTCTGGAGCCTGTGCTCCGCAACAAGAGAGGCCGCGATAGTGAGAGGTCGGCGCACCGCGATGAAGAGTGGCCACAACTAGAGAAAGCCCTCGCACAGAAATGAAGACCCTACACAGCCATAAATAAATAAATAAATAAAATTTTAAAAAAAAATGATTAAAAACTGTAAGTCAAATGAGTGAGTTTGGACTCAAACAAACTACAAAAGTGTGGGAACATTAAGAGACAATTAGAAGTCTGAACACTGGTATTTTATATTAGGAAATTATTCATTTGTTTGGTGTGCTAATATGAGGTTATTTTTTAAAGTCGTCTTTAACAGTACATATGGAACTATTTACATGTGAAATTATATCTCTGGAGTTTGTCTCACAATAATACATGAGAGGCAGAAGTGGGGAGAGGTATAGATAAAGCTAAAGTTAGGGGATGGGAAGTGGGTTTATGATACTCTTTTTTCTCCTTATGCATGTTTGACATTTTCCATAATCAAAGTGTTTCAGACTGTTCTTTGTTAATACATTTGTAAACAGTCTAAGTGGACAATTTCCTGAAATATATAATGTATGTGTATACATATATACAATTTATCAAAATTAAATCAAAGAAATAGAAAACCTAAATAAACTCTTACCAAAGTGATGAAAAAAAAAAATGTGTTGTTGGGAATTCACTGGCGGTCCAGGAGTTAGGACTCTGCGCTTTCACTGTCGAGGGCGTGGGTTCGATTCCTGGTGGAGGGAGGAACTAAGCTCCCACATGCCGTGTGGCGAGGCCAAAACAAAACAAAACAAAGTTAAAAAAAAGTCAAACAGACGAAGTGAAGCTTGAGGATGAGCAAATGGGTAACGCTTAGGTGTGGGTGAGGGGGCTGGACGTTCTTGGACGCGCTCTTACAGCACTCAGCTGCTGGGATCAGAGGAGAAACCAAGGTTTCTGCATTCACTCAGTCATCCATTCATTCAGTTCATATTTACTGAGTCCATTAAGTGCCAGATACTTGGGATACAAGGGTGGTGAGATTAGCACTATGGTCCCTGCCCCACAGTTGGGAGGAAGAGATTATCAGATAATAAACAAATGTATAGCATTAGCCCGTGTGCTCAGGCCAGTACCTGTCTACCACCAGTGACTGATGGGTTTATGAACCGCAGTTGGTATGAGAGTAGGAGGAGAAGCCCTGAGAAAATGCTTGAGGGATCTTCCGTGATTTTGACCTTGCTTCTGTGGAAGTTAAGTAAAAGAGGGTGGAGATGGAGAAGAATGAGACTGGAGTGGTTCTGGGCCTGGAGGAAAGGCCCAGGAGTTCTCCCCACCCCCCATTCCCAGAGGCCTTGCAGAACCCAGGTGCTAGGGAGAGAAGCCAGAAAGTTTCTTAGAAACTGGACCAAGCAAGTAGGGAATAGGTCTGAGGACGGAACAGGGACCCAGCTCACAGAAGAAGGAAACTCAATGAGCCCATTGCAAATGGCTCTAGAGCATTAGATCATTCGTTTGCTCAGTCATTCACTCTCCAGGTAGAAACTGAGGCTTGCTCTGGGCCAGACCATGTGGTCAGACTGAAGAGGTAGCCAGGGGACTTCCCTGGTGGCACAGTGGCTAAGGCTCCATGCCCCCAGTGCAGGGGGCCCAGGTTCAATCCCTGGTCAGGGAACTAGATCCCACATGCATGCTGCAACTAAGAGTTTGCATGCCACAACTAAGGAGCCCGCCTTCTGCAACTAAGACCCGGTGCAACCAATTAAATAAATAAATATATTTTTTAAAAAAGGTAGCCGGGCAACTGCAGAGCAGAGCCATGCGGCCGACAGCAGGGCACGTGGGGGCTGAGTGAGCACCCAGGAGGGCCAAACCCAGCCTGGAAGCCCGGTAGTTCTTTTGGCAGGGAGACACCCGAGCTGAGGAACCTGGAGAAAGATCGGCCCTCAACAGGGTGAGGGAGGGTCTGGGAACTTGGTGGGCAAGGGATAAAGCAAAATTAGCTGGGTATTAACCCTTCTTGGCTGGTCTAGACCCATGAAAAGAACACCTCAAAGGGGAATTCCCTGGTGGAGCAGTGGTTAGGAATCTGCGCTCCCACTGCAGGAGCCCTGGGTTCAATCCCTGGTCGGGAACGCAAGCTGCGAGGCCAAAAAAAACCAAAAAGAATATCTCAAGGTATAAGAGAGGAACTGAAGGGCAGATGGCCTCTGTGTTGAGAGAAGGAAGATCCAAGCGGCAGGTTAGGGCCTCAATCCTCAAACAGGGCTACCCTTGCTGCATCCTGGGTCCAGGGCCCGTGCACCGGCCCACAGTCACTTGGTCACTCCAAATCCCATTCCTGCCTCCCCTCTCTCCACCTGGCCATTTCTCGTGTGCCTTTCAGCACTGAGGTCTGGCTTCACCTCCAGCCCATGCCATCCTGACACTCCCAGGCTAACTTGAATGGCATCTTCTCTGCTCATGGCCCCTGTGCTCACTCCTACCCATCACCTGTCCTACAGAAAATATGTCTGTCTCCCTCTCCAGACGCTGAGCTCTGTGTGAGCGGGGTAGTCCCCACACCCACCACAGAGCCTGACATGTGGCTAGCTCTGAATGTTTATAGAATGAATAAATAAATGAGTGAACGAATGAGGAGGGGCAGCAATCTGAGCCCGAGAGAAACTGCCAGATGCTCAGCGGGAATCAAGAAGAAAGAGGGTTCTAAGACCAGGGAGGGGGGCTTCCCTGGTGGCGCAGTGGTTAAGAATCCGCCTGCCAATGCAGGGACACGGGTTCGAGCCCTGGCCTGGGAAGATCCCACATGCCACGAAGCAACTAAGCCCGTGCACCACAACTACTGAGCCTGAGCTCTAGAGCCCACAAGCCATAACTACTATGCCCACGTGCCACAACTACTGAAGCCCGTGCGCCTAGGGCCCATGCTCCGCAACAAGAGAAGCCACAATGAGAAGCCCGCTCACTGCAACAAAGAGTAGCCCCCGCTCACCACAACTAAAGAAAGCCCGTGCACAGCAGTGAAGACCCAACACAGCCATAAATAAAAAAATAAATTTATTTTAAAAAAAAAAGAGACCAGTGAGGGGACTTCCCTGGTGGTTCAGTAGTT